CCAAGATTGCAGAATCAAACAGGGAGGGAACTAAGATGGCGGAAGCCAAGATGGCCGGAAACATGGTGGAATCCAACATGGCCGACACCAACATGGCGGATTCCAAGATGGTGGACGCCAAGATGGCGGAATCCAAAATGGAGGGAAACAAGATCAGGGAAAGCAACATGGCAGAATCCAAGATGGAAGGAATCAAGATGGCGGAAAACAAGATGGAAGGAATAAAGATGGCCGAAAACAAGGTGGTGGAATCAAAGATGGAGGGAACCAACATGGCGGAATCCCAGATGGAGGAATCCAAGATGGAGGGAATTAAGATGGCGGATTCCAAGATGGTGAAGGCCAAGATGGCAGATTCAAAAATGGCGGATTCCAAGATGGCGGGCGCTGCTGCGGAAGCGGCCGCGGGGGCGTCGCGTGGCGCTGACGTCATTGTTGACGTGCCTAGCTCGGGCCTGGGCACCGGGGAAGCGCGGCTGTGGCGTCGGCGTCCTGCGGGCGGCCCGGGGCGCGGGCAGCAGCGGCGTCCGCCGCCTCCGCCTCCCCCTCCCGCCCCCCGCGCCGCCCCCGCCAGCCGCAGTTTCGAGCCCGCCTTGCCGCGCCGCCCGCGCCCGCCAGTGGCTGCCGAGCACATCCGGCCTGAGCACTGGGCGCGAATCCTGGCGCGCGTGCGCGGCCGCGGCACGGGTGACTTCCGGGCCCCGCCCGCCCTGCTTCCTGTCTCCACGGAGACCTCCTCACTTCCGGTGTCCACACTTCCGGTTTCTACACTTCCGGTTTCGACGCAAATATCCCCACTTCCGGTCTCCACTCAGACCTCACCACTTCCGGTCTCCACTCAGACCACCCCACTTCCGGTCTCCACACTGCCGGTTTCCACTAAAACATCACCACTTCCTGTCTTCACTACTTCCGCCTACCCACTTCCGCTCTCCCCGCAGACCTCCCCACTTCCAGTCTCCACTCGGACCCCTGTACTTCCTGCTTCCACACTTCCAGTTTCCACTCGAAAATTCCTACTTCCGGTCTCCACTCGGACCACCCCACTTCCGGCTTCCACACTTCCGGTTTTGTCTCGAACATCCCCACTTCTGGGCTCCACTCGCAGATCTACACTTCCGGTCTCCACAAGGAGATCCCCACTTCCGGTCTCCATTCGGACTACCCCACTTCCTGTCTCCCCACTTCCAGTTTCCACTCGGAAATCCACACTTCCGGCCTCCACTACTTCGGCCTACCCACTTCGGTTTTCGACTGAGAGATCCCCACTTCTGGCTTCCACACCTCTAGTTTCCCCACGGAACTCCCCACTTCCGGTCTCCAGTCGGACCACCCGACTTCCGGTCACCACTCAGAGATTCCCACTTCTGACTTCCACACTTCCGGTCTCCCTACGGACCTCTCCACTTCTGGTTTTGACACGGACATCCCCACTTCCGGCCTCCACCCCTCGAGCATCCGCTGCTCCGACCTCTGCACTTCCGTCCTCCTCACTTCCGGCCTCCTTACTTCCGATCCCCAGGAGGCTCGGAGGCGGCCGCAGGCGGGGGCGACAGCACAAAGCCCACCGCGCCCGGCCGGGTCCCACGGCGAACCCCCGTGACCCCGTGGTCACGACCCTGCACGGCCGTGCCCCGGATGCCCTCCTTTCCCGTCCTGCGGCTTCCCCCGATGGTGACCCCAGGACCTTTGACCCGCGACCCCCGGCCCTGCCCGCCGTGATCCCGCCCCGTGGCGCCTGGAACGAGCTGGACACGGGTGAGCCTCAGTTTACCCATCTGTCTCCTGCAGGCTCTTGGCTTGGGGGCAGGGGACTGAGGGGAGCCAGATAGGAGGTGGAGATTAGAGGTCACAGGGAGGATACAAGACGGTCAGAGGTCATGGGGAGGTTAGGGGTCACGGGGGGTCAGAGGTCACAGGGAAGTCAGGGGTCACAGTAGGGTCAGCGGTTGCAGAGAGGTCAGAGGTCATGGAGAGGTCACGGGGAGGTGAGAGGCCATGGGCAGGTGAGAAGTGGATGGGAAGTCAAAGGTCATGGGGAACTCAGGGGTCATGGAGAGGTCACGGGGAGGTCTTGGGTGGGTCACTGGGAGGTCAGAGGTCATGGGGAAGCCAGGAGTCACAGGAGGTCAGAGGTCACATAGAGGTCATGGAGAGGTCACAGGGAGGTCATGGGTCACTGGGAGGGCAGAGGGCATGGACAGGTCAGAGAGCATGGGGAGGGGAGGGGTGAAGTCCTTTACTCTGTCTGTCTGTTGTCTGTGTTCCTGGCCGTGTGGGGCACAGGATGACTGGGGAGACAAACACACACGCACGCACAGACAGACATAGAGCAGACAGATAGAGGGACGGATGGATAGACAGACAGACAGATAGGTGGATAGACGGATGAATGGACAGATAGAGCCATAGAGAGACAGACAGACAGATGGACAGAAGGACGGATAGACAGGTAGACAGACAGTAGACAGACGGACAGATAGACAGACAGATAGACTGATAGATAGATAAACAAATGGACGGATAGACAGAGCCATAGACAGACAGAGAGATACATGGACAGATGGATGGAGAGACAGACAGACATGGAAACATACATGGTTGGATGGATGGATAGATAGGTAGACAGACAGACAGCTGGATGGATAGACAGACCAATGGACAGATAGACAGAGCCATAGACAAAGAGATAGATGGACAGATGGATGGGTAGACAGACAGACTGGTGGATATATAGACAGATAGGTAGACAGACACTTGGCAGACGGATGGATACAGAGACAGGTGGACAGATGGACGGACAGAAGGATGGATAGATAGGTAGACAGATAGTAGATAGAAGGACAGATGGACAGATAGATAGGTAGACAGACAGATAAACCAAGGGACAGATAGACAGAGCCATAGAGAGACAGACAGACAGATACATGGACTGATGGACAGATAAACAGACAGACTGATGGACGGATAGACAGAGCCGTAGACAGACAGACACCAGAAACATGGACAGATAGATAGAGACAGACAGACAATGGAAGGATGGACAGACAGAGCCATAGAGAGATAGACAGACAGAGAGATACATGGACAGATGGACAGATAGACAGACAGACAGATAGAAACATACATGGTTGGATGGATGGATAGGTAGACAGACAGACAGACAGATAGATAGACAGACAGACCAATGGACGGATAGACAGAGCCATAGAGACAGATAGAAGAATGGGCAGAGACGAACAGATGGACAGATGAACAGATGGATAGATGGACCAATGGACAGATAGACAGACAGAGGTATACACAGTCAGAGAGACAGATGGACAGATGGATGGATAGACAGACGGGTAGATGGATGGATGGATTGAAAGAGATAACATGGACAGGTGGGTGGGTAGACAGACGGATGGACCGATGGATGTATAGACAGATAGGTAGACAGACACCAGACAGACAGGCAGAAAGATAGAGAGACAGGTGGACAGACAGATGGACAGATAGCTAGATGGATGGACCAGTGGACAAATAGACAGAATCATAGATAGACAGAGCAATGGACAGATAGACAAACAGAGTCATAGACAGAGAGAGAGAGAGAGAGATGGATGGATGGAAGGAAGGATACACAGGTAGGTAGACAGTAGATAGATGGATGGACAGATGAATGGACAGACAGATACATCGGTGGACAGAGTGACACAGACACATGGACAGATAGACGGATGGACTGATGGATGGATAGACAGATGGACAGACAGAGAGACAGAGGGACAGAGGGACAGACAGATGGACAGAGAAACGGACGGACAGACAGATGGACAGATGGACGGACAAGTAGACAGACGAACAGACAGACTGACAGAGACAGACAGACAGAGGGACAGACAGACAGACATAGACAGACTGACAGATGGATAGACAGACGGACAGAGAGATGGACAGAGAAACGGACGGACAGACAGATGGACAGATGGACGGACAAGTAGACAGATGAACAGACAGACTGTCAGAGACAGACAGACAGAGGGACAGACAGACTGACAGACAGATGGATAGACAGATGGACAGAGAGATGGACAGCCGGACAGACAGAAAGACAGAGGGACAGAGCACTGTCTCCGACCAGCACAGGGGCCCTTATCCAACGCCCTGTCCCTCTGTCCCTCCCTCCGTCCATCTGTCCATCCCCAGGCATAGAGCTGACCCCAGCGGCGCCTGACATGCGTGGGACGGACACGAGTGGATCTGACGCTGGCACAATGGACACGCGTGGAAATGTCACACATGGATCTGAAACTCACATGATGGTCATGCATGGAAAGGACAGGAGTGGACCTCACAGGAGCAAACTGGACACGCGTAGGCCTGCAACTGACTTGATGATCACGTGTGAAAATGTCACACGTGACATGGACACGATCAGATCCCTTCCACACTCACTGGACATGCGTGAAACGCACATAACTGCATCTGACATGAGTGGAAATGTCACACGTGTAAATGTCACACGTGTAAATGTCACGCGTGAAAGGGACACGATCATGTCCGTTATTCATAGGACTAACACCAGTGGAAATGTCACGCGTGGATCTGACTCTCAGATGATGGTCATGCGTGGAAATGTCACACGTGAAAGGGACACGATCAGACCCCTTCTGCATGGACTTGACACTCTTAGAATGCACATACGTGGATCAGACACGCGTGCAAATGTCACGCTTGGATATGACAGGCGTGGAATGGACACGATCAGGTCCGTTATTCATAGACCTGACACGCGTGAAAATGTCACACGTGAAAATGTCACACGTGGAATTAACACGATCAGGTCCCTTCTGCATGGCCCTGATACTCTTGGACCGCACATGCATGGATCTGACACGCGTGTAAATGTCACGCGTGAATCTGACACTCACACAATGGTCACACGTGGAAATATCACTCGTGAAAGGGACATGATCACATCCCTTCCACACTCACCTGATACACATGAAGCACGCATGCGTGGCTCTGACACACGTGGAAATGTCATGCACGCCACCCCCGCTCCCCCCGTGCTGCGCGAGGCGCCCACGGAGTTCGTTTCGGCCCACGCGGGCCTCACCCTGCACCTGCCCTGCACAGCCCAGGCCTGGCCCCCTGCGGCCCTGCACTGGCGTCTGCCTGACGGGACCCACATGAGACCTGTGCATGCGCACACGCACCCTCGACTCAGCGACGTCTACGTCCTCCCCAATGGCACGCTGGTGCTGCGCCGCCTGCAGGCCCCGCGCCATGCCGGTGAGTACAAGTGTGTGGCCGCCAACGCGCTGAGCAGCGCGAGACGCACTGTGCACGTCGAAGTCACACCCGCGCACGCGCGTCTCCCCCCCAGCATCCGACCCCGAGGCCCGCTTGCCACGCGTGTGCCCCACGGCGCTGACCTCACGCTGCATTGCCACGCGCGTGGGGACCCTGCCCCACGCGTGTTCTGGAGGCTGCCAGATGGGCGCCTGGTGGATGCTGGGAGCAGGTGAGTGTGGGAAGTGGGGGCACATCCATCCATCCACCTGTGCATCTACCCATCCACACATCCATCCATCCACCCATCCATCCATCCATCCACTCACCCATCCATCCATCCACCCATCCATCCATGCACCCACACATCCATCCATTCATCCATCTACCCATCCATCCACCCACCCATCCACCCATCCATCCCTCCATCCCTCCATCCATCCACCCATCCACTCATCCATCCACCCATCCATCCCTCCATCCATCCACACATCCACTCATCCATCCACCCACCCTTCCACCCACCCATCCATCCACCCATCCATCCATCCATCTACCCATCCATCCACCCATCCATCTACCCATCCATCCATCTACCCATCCATCCACCCATCCATCCATCCACCCATCCATCCATCCATCCATCCACCCATCCATCTATCCACCCATAGTTGGGATAAAGATGATACCCCTTGATAGATAGTTAATTGATAGAGGATGGATTAGACAGATGACATAGATACAGTAGACCATAGATAACAAATCGATTATCGATTAAATATTGCTAGAGATGAGGTGGGGATGGTAGATCCATTAGCAGTGAATAGGTAATTGATAGGTCCTGGCTTGCCAGATCGCAAGGTAGAACCCTAGTGATCGATCATTGATAGATGATCGATCAGGGATCGATACAAGATGAGTATTGGATGCATATGTCACATGTGCGAATAACTAACATTGGCTTCAAATTTGTCTTCCCTTCCTTATGGTCTTTCCTCCTATTACTTCCTTCCCTCCTTCCTTCCCTCCCTCCTTTCTTCCTTCCCTTCTTCCTTCCCTCCTTCCTTCCTTCCCTCCGATCCTTCCTTCCTTCCCTCCAATCCTTCCTTCCTTCCTTCCTTCCCTACATTCCCTCCTTCCTTCCAACCTCCCTTCCCTACATTCTCTCCTTCCTTCCCTCCAATCCTTCTTCCTTCTTTCCAATCCTTCCTTCCTTCCCTCCAATCCTTCCATCCTTCCTTCCCTCCAATCCTTCCTTCCCTCCCTCCAATCTTTCCTTCCCTCCAATCCTTCCTTCCTTCCCTCCAATCCTTCCATCCTTCCTTCCCTCCAATCCTTCCTTCCTTCCAATCCTTCCTTCCTTCCCTCCAATCCTTCCATCTTTCCTTCCGTCCAATCCTTCCTTCCTTCCCTCCAATCCTTCCATCCTTCCTTCCCTCCAATCCTTCCTTCCTTCCCTCCAATCCTTCCTTACTTCCCTCCAATCCTTCCATCTTTCCTTCCGTCCAATCCTTCCTTCCTTCCCTCCAATCCTTCCTTCCTTCCCTCCGATCCTTTCATCCTTCCTACCCTCCAATCCTTCCTTCCCTCCAATCCTTCCTTCACCCTTCCCTCCTTCCTCCCCTCCTTCCTTCCTGCCCTCCCTCCCTCTCCCCTCCCCAGCTCTGACATCCGGGTCCGCGCCTTTCCCAACGGCACGCTCTCCGTGCGTCCGGTGACGTCACGTGACGCGGGGGAGTACGTGTGCGTGGCCCGCAACGCGGCGGGCGACGTGCATGCACGGCTGCGCGTGGAGTTGGTGGCTGGGCCAGGCGGCTCCTATCTGCAAACCCGGCTTCCCGTGACCCCTGTGACCCAGGACACCGACCCCAGGGAGGACTGTGCTGCCCACCACCGCCTCCATGTCCCATCCGGTGTCCTGGGAGACCCGGATGTTCGGGTCGCGAGGCCTGATGGGAGTGTGGGGATCTGGGACCTGGGGCCTGGGTTAGACCTCGGATGTGTGACCACGGGTGGGGGGGCGGGGCCTGGGGAGGGTTCTTCCTCTTCCTCTCAGTCACTTCCTTCTTCCTCTTTCTTTCCTGTTTCCTCTTCCTTTCCTTCTTCCTCTTCCTCTCATCCCTTCCTGTTCTCTTCCTCTCAATCTCTTCCTTCCTCTTCTTCCTTTCCTTCCTCTTCCTCTTCTCAGTCTCTTCCTTCTTCCTCTTCTTCACATTCTTTTCCTGTTTCCTCTTCTTTTCCTTGTACTTCCTCTTCTCCATCTCTTCCTGCTTCCTCTCATGTTTCCTCTTCTTCCTCTTCCTTTCCTTCTTCCTCTTCCTCTCAGTCTCTTCCTTCATTTCCTGTTTCCTCTTCCTCTTCACTTCCTGGTTCCTCTTCACTTCCTGCTTCCCCTTTGCTTCCTGCTTCACTTCCTGCTTCCCCTTCACTTCCTGCTTCCTCTTCGTCTCCCACTTCCGCTTCCGCCCCGCTACCGCCCGAGCTCTCCGTCCCCTATGGCGCCCCCGTGACCCTCACATGCCCCGTGACCCAGGGGTCGCACGCAGTGACCTGGCTGACGCCGGCCTTGCAGCCCGTGGCCTTCACGTCCGGCTCGGAGGACGCCCACTTCCGTGTGCTGCCAGATGGGCGTCTGCGCCTGCGGGGGGCACGGCGGGCCGACGCAGGCACGTACACGTGCGTGGCGGGGCGGGGCCGGCGCGCCACCCTGCGCCTACACGTGCAGCTGCGGTCACCGCGCATCCGGGTCACACCTGACGTCCATGATGACGTGAACGAGGACATTCGGGTCTCCCCCGTGGTGCGTATGCGCGTGCGCTGCCAGGCGGATGGCGTCCCCGAGCCCCGCCTGCTGTGGGAACTTCCGGGCGGGCTGGTACTTCCAGTCCCGTATCGCAGTCACACGGGGGGAGGGATCAGCGTGGATGCGCGCGGGACGTTGGAAATCCCGGATGTGCGTGCGCTGCGCAGTGGTGGCAGCTACGCCGTGGCATGCGTGGCGCGCAACCCGGCAGGAGAAGCCCGGATGTGGGTGCGGCTGCCGCCATGGTGGGCGCGGGCTCTGCCCCCTGCGGTGTCGGCTCTGCCCTCTGAGGTATTGACTCCGCCCCCTGGCCCGCCTGCCCCGCCATCTTGGGTGCTGACTGCGCCCTCTGAGGTATTGACTCCGCCCCCTGTTGCACTGGCTCCGCCCTCTGAGGCAGCTCCACCCCCTGGCCCGCCTGCCCCGCCATCTTGGGTGCTGACTGCACCCTCTGAGGCGTTGACTCCGCCCCCTGTTGCACCGGCTCTGCCCCATCACGCACCTGCCCCGCCATCTTGGGCGCTGACTCTGTCCACTGGTGCGCTGGCTCCGCCCTCTGAGGCAGCTCCGCCCCCTGGCCCGCCTGCCCCGCCATCTTGGGCGCTGACTCCACCCCCTGACGCACCGACTCTGCTCTCTGAGGCGCTGACTCCGCCCCCTGGGACGGCGTCGGAGGTGGCGCTGCGTGTGGTGCTGGGCGGCAGCTTCCGGCTGCGCTGCCCCACCTCCACGCTTCCGGTGTCCTGGCGCCTGCCCGGCGGGCTGGTGCTGCGTGGGCCGCAGAGGCGAGGCCGCTTCACGCTGGGCGCCGACGGCAGCCTGGAGGTGCGCGCCGCCTCCGAGCGGGACCGCGGCGCCTACATCTGCCATGCCCACCCCGGGGCGCCGCCCGGACACGCCCCCCGCGCGCCGGAGACCAGGATGTTCAGCTTCATTCCCGCCACTAGGCCGCTGGGTGCCATGGCAAGGCAACAGACTGAGGAGACCCGGATGTGGGGCTTCAGTCCCGCCGCTAGGCCGCGGCGTTCGGTTGCAGGGCAACCAAGTGAAGATACCAGGACGTTGGGCTCCACCGCAGCATCTAGGCCTCTGCGTTCGGTTGCCGGGCCACAGACCAAGAAGACCCGGATGTGGGGCTTCATTCCTGCCTTTAGGCCGCTGGGTTCGGTTGCCGGGAAAGCGCGTGAGACCCGGATGTCCAGCTCCAGCAAGACTCTTGGGCCCCAGCCAGAAGATGCCCGGATGTGGGGTTCCGAACCTGCGCGCGCTGTACAGAAGCTGCGGTCCGACCAGAGGCCACGGAGAGGCTAGGACCCGGATGTGGACTGGGAGGGACCCAGATGTGGACTGGGAAAGACCCGGATGTCACCTATCTCTGGGTCCACTGAAGGGCCAGGACCCGGATGTGGACTGGGAGAAACCCGGATGTCACTTTCTTCCATGTCCACTGACCCGGATGTGGCATGGAGGAACCGGATGTCACTTTCCTCCAGATGCACTGATGGGTCTGGACCCGGATGTGGACTAGGAGGGACCCGGATGTCACCTTCCTTCATATCCACTGAGGGCCCAGTACACAGATGTGGACTGGGAGGGACCTGGATGTCACCCTCATTCGTGTCCACTGACCCAGATGTGGCCTGGGGAACCCGGATGTCACTTATCTCCAGGTCCACTGAAGGGCCAGGACCCGGATGTGGACTGGGGGACCCGGATGTCACCTATCTCCAGGTCCACTGAGGGGCCAGGACCCGGATGTTGAGTGGGGAACCCGGATGTTATGTAAGTCCATGTCCATTAACCTGGATGTGGACTGTGGCAGGGACCCGGATATGTGCTGGGCAGGACCCGGATATCACATCCACAGGCCTGGCTGTGGCGTGTGGAGTCCCGGATGTCATGCTCCTCTCCTTCCACTGACAGGGTCTAGGACCCGGATGTGGCGTGGGGATCCCGGATGTCAGGTCCCTCCACATCCACTGAGGGTCTAGGACCAAAATGTGGAATGGGAACTACCCGGATGTTAGGGACCTCCAGGTCTGTGAACCCGGATGTGGGTTGGGTACTCGGATGTTAGGGACTTCCAGGTCCATGAACCTGAATGTGGGGTGAGTACCCAGATGTTAGGGACCTCCAGGTCCATGAACCTGGATGTGGGGTGAGTACCCAGATGTTAGGGAACTCCAGGTCCATGAACCTGGATGTGGGGTGAGTACCCAGATGTTAGGGACCTCCAGGTCCATGAACCTGGATGTGGGGTGAGTACCCAGATGTTAGGGACCTCCAGGTCCGTGAACCCGTATGTGGGGTGGGTACCCGGATGTTAGGGATCTCCAGGTCAGGGAACCCAGATGTGGAGGCGAGTACCAGGATGTCCCTTATCTCCAGATCCACTGGAAGGCGCCAGGACCCGGATGTGAGGGGTTTGGACCCGGATGTGAGGGTTGGGACCCTCATGTGAGGGGTTGAGACCCAGATGTGAGAGGTGGAATCCGGATGTGGGCGGAGTGGGCGCTCCACACCTTGGCCCCGGGCTCTAGCTGCACTTTGGCCGTTGGGGTCCTTTCTCAGACTCGGAGGCAATAAAGCAGCCATGCTGCTTCTGGATGGAATTCTTCCTCACTTCTGTCCCAGCGCAGGCCAAGCCCTCCTGAGTCCCTCACTTCCTCCCCAGCCCAGGCCACACCCTCCTGAGTTCTGGCCACGCCCTACTGAGCACAGGCCACGCTCCCTGATGGTCCTGACTCTTATTGCAGCCCTCCATGTAGTTCTCGAGGTTTCCCTCCTCCCCTTCCTCCTGCCTCTGCCAGGCCTGGCAATTTCTTGGCGCCCAGCCCAACAACTCCGGGTTTTTCCCTTCCTTCCCCGCCTTCCCCTTCAGCACCACATCCTGTTCCTTTCCAAGGAACAAGGGGACTTTTATTTTGGAGGGGGCTTGTGGAATTCTGGCTGCTGGAGTGATGTGCACATTTGAGCCCTGCGAGCTTCCTGGCTGGCAGGGAGAGCAGCAGACCCAGGCGCTGATGGCAGAGAACTGTGGATGTGAGTTCGTCCTCTGGGGAACACGGGGAGAGGTGTGGGGACCCGGGGTGGGGGGGCTTCGATTGCTTTTTGGAGCCCCCCCCGATGTCCCACCATGCCCCGGGGTGGGGGCTGCAGGGCCCTGCCACAGGCCTGGAAAGACGAGGTGAGGGGCTGATGTACTGGTGGGGGCAACAGCAGCCTGGCCCTGGCGTGGCCGGATATTCCTCAGCTCTTCCCCACTTCCTGCTTCCGGCCTTCTCTTCCAGGAAACGGGGAGCATCATGGGAAGGACGCGATCCTGGGTGCCATGTTGGTCAGGAGAGGGCCTGGAGGGAGGGGGAGCCCTCCCATCTCCCACCCATCCATCCATACACCCATCCACCTATCCATCCATCCACCCATCCACCCACCCATCCATCCATCCATCCACCCATCCACCCACCCATCCATCCATGCATCCATACACCAATCCATCCATCCATGCATCCATACACCCATCCATCCATCCATCCATCCGTCCATCCATCATTCATCCATCCATCCACCCATCCATCCACCCACCCATCCACCCCTCCTCCTCCTCTCTCTCCTCCTCAGGTTGCACAGCAGCTGCGTGGCCCCACCCCTCACCTTCCTCCTCCTCCTCCTCCTCCTCCCCCCTGGCCCCTGCGCAGGCCCTGCCCCCTCGCGTCCCAACTTCCTGCTGCTCTTGGCCGACGACCTGGGCCTGGGTGACCTGGGCAGCTTCGGGAACCGCAGCCTGCGGTGAGCAGAGGGGGCGGCCCGGATGTAGGGCCTTAGTTACCCGGATGTGGGAGCTCAGATCCCTGGATGTTCCACCAGGAGAACTGTATAGACATCTAGTAACTCAGTTCCCCGATTGTTGGATGTTAGTATCGTGGATGTTGGATATCAAATCCCCGGATGTTGGATCTTAGTGCCCTGGATGTTGGATATCAGGTCCCCGGATGTTACATGTTAGTACCCCAGATTTGAAGATCAGGTCCCCGGATGTTGGAGACCAGGTCCCCAGCTGTTGGATCTTAGTGCCCCGGATGTTGGATATCAGGTCCCCGGATGTGGGAAATCAGGTTCCCGGATGTTGGACTTCAGTTCCCTGGATGTTGGATGTTAGTACCCGGATGTTGGAGACTAGGTCCCTGGATGTTGGATGTTAGTGCCCCGGATGTTGGATATCAGGTCCCTGGATGTTAAATCTTAGTACCCTGGATGTGGGAGATAATGTCCCCAGATATTGGACTTCAGTGCCCCGGATGTAGGAGCTCAGGTCCCCAGATGTTGGAGGTTAGTGCCCCGAATGTGGGAGCTCAGGTCCCTGGATGTTAGATATTAGTACCCCGGATGTTGTAGCTCAGACCCCGGATGTTGGATCTTATTCCTCCGGATGTAGGAGCCCAGGTGCCTGGATGTTAGATCTTAGTGTCCCAGATGTTGGATATCAGATCCTCGGATGTGGGATGTTAGTGCCCTGGATGTTGGAGGACAGGTCCACGGATGTTAGATCTTAATGCCCCGGATGTGGGAAATCAGGTTCCCGGATGTTAGATGTTAGTGCTCCGGATGTTAGATGTCAGGTCCTCGGATGTTGGAGGACAGGTCCACGGATGTTAGATGTTAGTGCTCCGGATGTTGGAGATCAGGTCCCCGGATGTTAGATGTTAGTACCCCGGATGTTAGATGTCAGGTCCTCGGATATTGGAGATCAGGTCCCTGGATGTTGGAGATCAGGTCCCCGGATGTTGAATCTTACTGCCCTGGATGTTACATGTTAGTACCCCGGATGTTAGAGCTCAGTTCCCCGGATGTTCCACCAGGAAAACTGTATAGACATCTAGTGGATCTCAGGTCCCCGGATGTTGGAGTTCAATTCCCAGGATGTTAGGTCTCAGTTCCCTGGATGTTGAAGATCAGGTCCCCGGATGTGGGATGTTAGTGCCCCGGATGTTGGAGATCAGGTCCTCGGATGTTAAATCTTAGTATACCCCAGATGTGGGAAATCAGGTTCCCGGATGTTAGATGTTAGTACCCCAGATGTTGAAGATCAGGCCCCCCGGATGTTGGAGATCAGATCCCTGGATGTTGGATCTTAGTGTCCCAGATGTGTTGCCCGGATGTAGGCCCTCAGGTCCCCGGATGTTGGGCCTTAGATCCCGGATGTAGGAGCCCAGTCCACAGATACAGGTCTTAGTACCCTGGATGTTGGACCTCAGGTCCCCAGATGTTGGATCTTAGTTCCCCGGATGTGGGATCTCAGGGCCCCGGATGTTGGAGTTCAGCTCCTGGGATGTTGGGCATTAGATCCCCGGATGTTAGACCCCAGGTCCTGGGATGTTGGGCATTAGATCCCCGGATGTTAGACCCCAGGTCCCCGTATGTTCTTGGCTGTGACTCAGTTTCCCTCTCCCCCCACAGCACCCCGCACCTGGACGGCCTGGCCCGGGACGGCGTGCGGCTGACCCAGCACTTGGCGGCAGCGTCTGTCTGCAGCCCGAGCCGCGCGGCCTTCCTGACGGGACGCTACCCTGTGCGCCTGGGTTGGTATGGGGGGGTGGGACATCCGGGGAACGGAGGGGGTGGTGAGGGGAAGGACGGGGGTGGGACACCCGGGGATCTGAGAGCCAACATCCGGGGTACTAAGATCTGA